GGTTTTTGTCTTTAACCTGAACTTGTGTATACTGCCATTGAAATAGAAACATGACTTATAACTGGCCTTTAACCTGAACTTGTGTATACCGTAGCTGGCAACATCTCACCCATTCTGTGTCTGATTATAGAGCAAAACTATATGTGATCAATCCTTAGTCACAAATCTTTACCTTGACACACTGTTTGTTTGTTTGTTTGTTTATTGTTTAGTTGTTTTGAAAAATTCCCAGCGGCAGGAAGGCATGAGGCAGATTTTGTCTCTGGTACCTGAATTTGCACTGTCTAAAAGTCTGGTTCATTTCAACCTAGTCTTTTCTAGTGGGTCTGTTCGGAGATACATTCTAGATTAGTTTCCCTGCCAGGCACCCTGTCTAAAACATTTCTTCAGTATAAAGAAAGAGACTACAGAGGAAAGCAGCATCCTTTGGTAAAGGAAGTGGGTCAGATATTTCCTGTAATCGCCTTTCATGTTTATACAAAACCTACACTGGCTGAATCCTCTCCCCAGGCACTAGCCTGCTGTGCAGAAACTGTTGTCGCAGGAATTGTCATGAGCCAAAGGCTTTGATTTGATTACTTTGTTCCTAATTGCAAAGCTTTTGCGTTCTTTGAGGGAAACATGCATATTATATCTGGTCAGTTTTTAATAGGGAGGCAGAGCTTTTCAGAGCAAAAGATAGAAGAGATGACAGAATGGGAGATTCTGGAAAATACAAGAATCCTGGGGGTATTAACATTCATACTGAATGCTTTCGGTTTCTGTTATCCCTGCAGCCATTGAAGGATGACTTGTGGTGGAAATTGGGCATCTGCAACTCAAGGTCCAAATTATAATAGCTACAATATGAGACCGATAAACACAGTAAAGGAAAAAAAACCCAGAAGCCATTAACTCATTTAAAATATTTCAGATAAAGAATCCTAAATATGATATTTGTAAACTGGTGCTCTCGTGGATATTAATAGAGGACTGAGTGGCCTGATCTTTGTACAAGACGGTCCGTCTTGATGTCATTAGAACCACTACTTTCTTAAGTGGTAAGAGATGGCTCAGGGTAAATGCACATGCCTTCATTCAACTCTGTATTTTGCATTCCATTATTTCATGATTGGCCATTTGGAGGAGAATATGGACTCTATTTGCAAATCTGATTGCCTAGGCAATTACCTCTGTTGGAATTTTGTTGACAGAAAAAGAACTAATTGCAAAGAATTTGCATTTTCCTTCTTGCCTAATTTGACCTTCAGTCATGTGAAAAGGCGGTGCCCACGCACATAGGTTTTTATATAGTAGTGCATCTAGGACCAAGATGCCAGTGGAGGCTTGCTTGCTGTGAATACTTCTTTGGGCAGAAGGATTTTCATTGGGACTTCTGTGGAAAAGAAAAGAAGTGAAATCCCCACGTGCCAAAACTGGGGGGGAGGAGCTACCACAGGGGCTCTTCACAGCTTTTAAAGGGGACATAACATTTGAAGGATGTTCTTAACACCAACTCCCCAAAAACCCTAATTGGCATGGGGTTTTTAATGGCTCCTCCATTGTTTCTTTAATTTTCAAACAATTTTACCTGTGCCGGAACTTGGAATGCAAGATTACTTTCAGTATTGGTGAGTGTGGCGATCCCCCTTGTGGTCCCTTATTTCCCTGGGCTCCACAAAGGTAAACTCGCCCTTTTCTGCTGCCACCAGGTATTATCCTAATACTATTACAATTCCCACACATACACAGGAGCTGCTCATAGAACTTAGGAATCAGGGGTTTTCAATTAAATATTCTTTTATTATTGAACAAAGTATAAGAAGAATCAAATATAACTGTTTCATGTGTTCATGTATAATAGATCAGGTGTTCAATCACTTGTATTCAATACTATTGTAGGTTTTCAACCAATATTCTTCATGTTATGCTTATGGGTTCATTCCTGCTTGTTCAATATGTTTTTCTTTCAAATCCCTTTCTTAACCCCTTTTTATCTACTCCTAAATCCTAGCACTCTCTCCACATCTTCTTGTCCCTACTTCTCTCTATCCCTATCTCGTTCCAACTGCCCTGAACTGTCTCTTCTCACTCTCTGTCATTCTGACTCCGCCCCTCCTGCTCTATCGTCTGATTGACATGCAGGAATGACATCGTATTTTGGGTTCCGCTACAGTGAGTTACTAAACAGCATTAATCAGAATATTTGCTCACCTCTGGTACTATATGTGTTTCATCTTTCTTGGCTAGAAACCATTTTGATCTACTTCCATCTTAACTAAGTTAAACAAGTAATAAACAAGTAATAAATAAATAACTGACAGGCATTAGTATGCATATATTATATGATACTGTTAAGATTATGTAAAAATATCAACAAGAAAAAAACACACAACCTGAGAGCTCTACATGTATCCTCTGTTCCCCCTATTCTAAACATTTCCTCCCCACTCAGAAAGGCCCTTTGTGCCCTCTAGGAAGCCTGGGAGTCAATGTTGCCAAGATTTGGGAAGCCCCCTAGCATCTCTGCTCCCAGGTCCTCAAATTTATTTGTGGATTTTTTATTTTGTTTTTTTAAAGTCTTTTGAAAAGAACACTATTTTGAAGGTGGGTGGGTCGGGGATAGGGACAGGTTGAGATATGGGTGAGTGCAGCCCCCGAAGGTTGTCCTGTTCCACTTTAAAACCAAGAAAAAACAGAGTGTCACGGAGGAATGGGAAATGAATGTCATTGCCTCATTCTGAAAATAAATATTGTTGTGTCATGAATGTGATAGAAGAGCAAATGTGTTATTTAGATACCTCCATGACTTAATGAGATAACACAAATTGCTGACTCCAGTGGCAATGCATTACATGAGCGAGGAAATTGGCCACTGTAAAGTTTCCAATATTCTTACCTAAAACACTTTTATTTTGCTTCAAATATTTTCTTACATGTGTGGGTATTAAGGAATAATATCAAAAAGGGGCAAGCTAGTTCCTATCCTAACTTCCATAGTTAGAAATGTGTTTTTTAATTGCATTTACTGTATTTTTTGCTCCATAAGACACACCTGACCTTAAGACGCACCTAATTTTTAGAGGAGGAACACAGGAAAAAAATATTCTGAATGAAATAGTGTAATAAAATATTTAATAGACTATAACAGAATAACATTTGACTCATGTAAAGTGAACAGCAGTCAACAGTGGCATTAAGAACCATTACCACTGTCATTAACAAATGGAGAGACTTGAAGGTTTGTGTACTCTAGTTTAAGTCCCATAAATTTGTGTACCATAAATTTAAGTCAAGGATTGTGGGAGGAACACCCAGCCCCTGATGGGGGTCCCATGGGGCACCCCAAAACCCTGAGGAGCTCTCTTGGCCTCTAGCGGGACTGGGGCTGTGCAGCCCTGCTCTGATCAGGAGGTGCAGCCTTGAGAGCGGGAGGGCACAGAAGGGGGCAGGAGGTGCAGGGGCCACTCCAACTCATACCTGGCAGGGGAGATACCATGATCATAAAAGTGGTTTTCTCAGGCTAAGACTCATCCATTGCACTTCAGGGGTGCTGATTTCTGTGATTTCCCCAAATGTGGGAAAATCAAGTGCCTAATTTATGGTAGTGGGGAACTGCGTTTGTGGTTTCCCCTAGTCTTTTTAGAATCACTCTTTCCCCTTTGGTCCTTGGCTGTTTTCACTGCCCTCTGCCATTTAAATTTGCTGCCATAGGCCTGTTGGCCGTGCTGGTTTTCCAGGTGGGCTCCAGGAGGCAGATCCTGGAAAGCCAGCAGTGTAGATGGCAGAGTGGTGAGGTCTAATGTGACTGCCACAGCAAGCAGCCTCTGGTGCCAATTCAGAGGCCTCCCAGCAATGTCCAGCTTAAAGTGACATTCTCAACCCCCATCATTCTGGTGGCACACTTCATTTGTGCCCCATAAAATAAAGAAATGGCACCCCCAAGTTTTCAGTTCATGTCTGTCTGCTTCCTTTGCATTAACAACTTATTTCTACTGCACCAGTCACTTCTTAAAAGCTTTGTCGTCAGATGTTACCTGTTTGACAGCACAGCAACAGCTGCTGTGGATTAGATTATCAATTGGCCATCATTGTGCAGAAAACTGAGCTTGATTTGAGACAGGAGATGACTTTGATGGCTGGTGATTTCATCCATCTGTGACAACAATTTTAGGATATTTAGCTTTACAGCCCAGTGCCAACGCAGAGACATGGATATGTTTCACAACTTACCCTTTGCTCATTCAAGTAGGATAATTTAATAACCAGTGGGTGTGAAGCACCAGGAACTGCCAAGTCACAGGAGGCTCCTCCACGCTGCCTTGCTTTGAGCTGAACAAGAATATGAACATAAGAAATGTCTGTAGGATCAGACCAAAGACTAAACCTGTCCTGCATTCTGTTCGTACAGTGGCCAGCCGCATGGGTATAGGAAGCCTGCAAGACATGGATACAGTGGCATCCCATATGCCTCCCAGCAACTGCTCTAAAGAGGCATACTGCTTCTGATACTAGAGGTTACTGTCATAACTGGTGGTCATTGATAGCCTGATCTGAATTTGTCTGATCCCCCTTGAATGCCATCTGTAGGATGTTTACGCATCTTTATATTTTGAAAGTCAGCAACTGAAATCCTGTTGCTTAGCGTAGTAACTTGCAACTACAGTATACCCATTGAATCCATGGGGATTCAGTGAGTCAACTCCTCCATAAGTTCCAGTGATTCAAATGGACCTACTTCAGTTGCAACTTACTACACTGAAGTTAGTTGCAACCAGGATACGCATACTTGAATCAGTGGAACATATGGAGGAGTTGACTCACCCAAACCTCAGTGCTCAGTGGGCCTACTGTAGTGCAACTTACTGTGCTAAGCAACAAGAGTTTTTCCTACAAAAAACTCTTGCTTTTTCAGCAGTTAGACCTACATTTTAAATAAAAGATTTTATTGATGTTGAAACTGTATGGTATTGATTTTGCTAAACTACTAACACATAATTGTTCTTGTTCTTCCTTTGAAGGAAAACCACACATTGGGGAGATCTTAGATACACTCTGCCATGAACTGACGGACTGTGAACTCGCCTTCTTGAAGCAACCTTCTTGAGAAAGCTCCAGGACACAACTTCTGGGCTAGCTCTTCGGTTATTTCCTGCTAAGCAGTTGTACCTCTGACTGTGGGTTGTAGCTATTGCCATTCTTAAAAGCTGCGACATACAAGCACAGGATGTCCTGTGCCCTAGGGAATTTGTCAAATTGAAAAGCTGGAAGACTGGAGACAGTTTCTGGAACTAGAAGATGCCATTTCATGCCAAGTCAGACAGATGGTCCATTGCAAAGCCGAGAATTGTCTGCTGTGACCAGCAGCACACTTTGAACACAGTTCTCTAGTTGGGAGGGTGCAGATCCTTCTCATCCTGTCTTAGGAGTCTGATTCAAGTAGAGAGGCCTGGAATGCAAGCCTCAGATTATCTGTCTCCTTACTCTGAGTCCTTAAATGATGCAGAGTACATCTGAGAAGCTCGGTCACTTATCTTTTGAGCAAAACATGCCCGGGAGATCACTTACTCATCCTAGGAATTATTCAATAAGTAGCACAGAAAGCCTCCATATTCTTCGTACCCGAAGTCTACTGATCTACTCTATGAAAAATATTGTGCTGCCCTGTAGAATGTTGTGTCCCTCATTAGAGTTGGAGATACTAATCGGCAATTTTTTAAGAGTAAAATAGTGTCTTGAGTGTCTCACTAGTGAGAAAAAGAAATGCTATCAACATAAAAAAGGGAAAATATGAATGTATTAAAAAACACCCAGGTTGCTTATACTTTGAATCAGTGGTAGGCACACTTTGAGTCCTTAAGGTTTAATTTTTCTTTCTGCTTGAATCTCAACATCCGCCTCCTGAAGTTGTGGAGGACATGGCCTGGGAAGGGAGATTATATACTTAGGATTAAGGAAAGTAGATTCTGTTTGTTTTCTGTTGCAGGCCTGAGTTTATCATTATTTTTTACCCAGGTACACTCCTGGTTTTCTCCATTTTCAGCAGCCTGTTTCCAGTGAGAGGAGAGCATGGTTGTTGTGATGACTGGAAAAGTGAAAGCTTGACACCCTTTGTTGATGGACTACAAATGGACCAATCCATCTCCCAGTAGATTAACATCTACCTTCTGCTCCCATTGGAGAAGCTGAAGTCCAGTCCTCCTTAACTAGGAATCCCAGATTATAGTACCAGGAGCCATAAATGGTGGACAAACAGGCCCAGGTCAAAACAGGCACATACTGGAACCTGAGGAAATATCTATGGATTGTTTTTACCACCTGTAGTTGTGAGCGAATATATGTGCTGTAAACTACAAAAGCTGATATGATAAATGCACATGTGCTTATAAACATGTATCCTATTTAATTCTTGAGTTACTGTATGCTTGGATTTCTATTGAACTGGATATATTATTTTAAATTACAGGCCCTCTAAAATGTAGTCATGCTTCAGTAGTAATTTCTAACTGCTGTCTTGAGTTGTAACTTTTTCATTCCTGCATTAAACACTACCTTTATCTTTTGGACATAACTGCAGTGCATCTGTTGATCAGACTTTTACATGGAGGAAGGGCAGAATAGTAACGCAGTGTCTTTGTAGGTACAATTCAGAGACAGTGGAAGACATTTCCCCTGGGAAGGGGAGGGGCTGACGTTGTCTTGCTATGCATTAATTCTCTGCAGTATGACCTAAAGCAATTCTCACTTCTTCTTCTACCTCTGGCTGTGTGGCTGTCCACAGGCCCTGAATTGGTTGTCTCCTGACTCACTCTTTCCTGGATTAAACAGGTTATCCAGACTATCATCAGCACCCTTGCTGCAATTAGCTACGTACTTAATTATGGGATCCTGCAGTGCCATTTTCTTTATTTTCTAGTTGTCTGAGTACTTGCACAATTTAGATCTAACAAAAAAGAGTGTGTCTAGGGGGGTTAATAATGAGATGTTCTATTGAAACAAGGTTCAGAGAAAGCAATCAGGTGGAAGAAATTATGTAGGCAACTTTCTCATTTTGACTAGGTGGGATAGGGCGACAAATTCAATCAAGCTGTCGAATAAGAGCTGGTTGTGAAATCAACCAGACTAGAGATTTGGCTTTCTCAGAGAAAACCAATGAGTTTTTAAAATTCAATGCATCTTCTATAGTAAGAACTACCAGTATGATTCTGGCTACTAATTAAAAAGAAATTTCGACTGATGAAGTTGTTTTATCACAGAAAATATATATATTTTTAATATATATATTTAAATGGGTGAACAAACTTGTGACAATTCAGTTTTGTATTGCTGTTGATATTGTGGTGACCTATGGTTTTAAACAATAAAGTTTGTTCAAAACTTCACAACTTGTGACAGCAAGAGATGAACAGGGGTCTTCTCTTGAGGATTTGTGTAAGCAGGTAGCCTCTTACAGGTCTTCTGTAGGACAAACTCACTGCTCTGATGCCACCCTTCCAAGTGCCTGGCTACCTTACAGCATTTGTTGAGATGGATGATGGGGCAATTGGGATGTACAGCCCACCATATACCATTTTAATTCAGATATACAACATTCCTTCCAAAGAAGGCTTTTACTGAAGGCACACAGTTCTATGGAACTTCACAGTAGGTCCAGATACTGCGATCTTCAACTTTCAGAGCTACCTTGTCTTCCTGTTCCCTTCCTCACCCTTATCAGAGAAGAGAAGAATAGCTGGGCAATGCCTTTTATATGTGACGATTAGAACACCTTCAAATGAATTTGTCCAAAGAGAGAGGGGGGGGGTGTCTGGCAATCACTAAGGCAAGGGAAAAAGGCACAGGGCCTGTTACATTAATGGAATATAGAAAGATGTGCATAACAGTGAAGTGGAAGACCTTCTATAGTGTACAGTAGATGGCTGGCAGATTGCAATGGCAAAGCAATGATTCTGTAATGTCAGGAGCCTTCCATCTTGATGGTATCATGAGAATGCTCTTATGTGGTTGGAGAAGGCACTGTGCTGCAAGTTAGACTACAAGCCAAAGTATCTAAATGGGCCACAAACCTGTGTAAGCTTACAAGGCATTTGTCTAAACCAGGGTAAGACTGGACCAAGGATGTCCCTGGTTGAATCTGAAGTACAAATACAGTACAACTCTGTAGTTTCTGATTTTTTTAACAAGACTGAAAATAAGGGATGGGGCTTTCCAGGTGCACAGGAGATGTTTTGTATGGAGTTAAAGGCTTTTTAGTTTCCAAGAAGGCTGATAAAAGCATCAGCTTCTAATGACTGAAGCCCTGTCACTCCCACAGCCATCTGGGGCACAGATTGACCACCTAGGGGCTTCTCAGTGTTCAGCTTTCTAATTCTTTCAGCACAGGCCAGCATGACGAGATGATGATTATTGTTGTCCGGTGTCTCGAGGGCCATAGCATGCGCACCTCTGCTCTACAGTATTGCTAAGATTGTTTTGCTACCCCATTATTTTTGAAAAACAATAAATAAAATACAAACTATCTGTGAGCATTACATTGACTTTTCAAAAATGTACTTACCCAGAGCTTTTGGGAACCAGAAGGGTTTTGAATTCAGCTGCAATAATAGATAATTTAGGGGGCAAAACAAGAACATTCAGTTAAAATGTAAACCAAATCCTCCCCCAAGGAAAATGGCTCAGTCCACAAGCTTATTTTGAATGTGCATTTTTTTCATACATTAGTGATGGCTTTGTTTCAGGCCAGGGAGCAGTTCTTGCATAAATACGTCTTGAGGAGCAAAATATTATGCAATGTGCTAGTGATAATAATATGAGGCTGGTATGCACATAATAAATACAAGGTCATGCCCTGAATATATTTTCATTATTGTTCCTAATTGGAGCATGAATAAAGAGAGTGATGTTCTACCCAGCTTGCTCATATATAACTTCATATAAAATAGCTAGCCTCCGAATTGGTGTCATTATGCTTCTGTGTGAAGCCAAGTTAAAAAGAAACGGTATGTTTCTTTTTGCAATAATTTCTGTTGAAGACAGGCAGATCACTAAGCCAGAACCTACACTAAAAAAGCAGCTAAAACTATCCAGGAGAATTGCTAGAAGCCCAAGTCAGCTCCCTGGCCCTGGAAGGCAGGACATTCGCAGAAGCTTCCTGTATCAATCTCGCTAAAGCAAACAGAAGTGGATTCCATCATGTGGTGATGAAACAGAGTTAAAAATAACTGTTGGGAGAAAAGTTTGTGACCCGCTTGACAGGATATTTGCCTAAAGGATGACTGGATCCTTGCCTCATTATGTATGCAGTCTTGATGTACAGTATTTGCCTCTCCCCTTGGGATATCTAGTTGTGGCGGCTGCAATGACGTCACCTGCCTATCATGGTTATGCTGGAACCCATCTGCCTATAGCAGAGCAGGAGGTGGGACTCCAGGAGGTGGAGCTGTGTATATAAGGGGGGGAGTGAATGATGTGGGACAGTTGGGAGTTAAGAGTTATAGAGTTATGGAGAGTGAGAGTTGAGTTGAGTTAGGGCACTGTGTTAGTTAAGGTCTGAGAGAGAGTGGGTATGAGGGGATACTTGATTATTACTGATTGCCTTTTTATTTTAGTTGATAAAGTGATTTACCATCCCTAAACAGCCATCTCACCTAATGAGAAGCTGGGAAACTATGTGATCCAGATGTCAGACAAAGCATCAATTAAGGCTTAACCAGAGAAGGAAAGAAAAAACTGTCACTGGAGGCAGGTGGCTGGTGCTGTGAAGAGCAGGGTAATGAACAGGTGCTGAGAGAGGATTTTACCAAGAAATTATACTGGAATATAAGCCCAATACGGGGGTCATAGAATTGGCTCCTTGTGAAACCAATCATGAAAATTCAAGCTAGATTTCACATGGGAAATCAGTGAACAGGGTCCTAGTCCTGCTCCCATTGTGTAAATACCAGCAGAGGAAAAATGGGATGAATTCACTCCATAACACAGACCGAAGTTGGGTTTAAACCTTCCCCATGTAACAGAACCATGTTAAAATCCCAGGTCCGCCCTCCTCCCAACCTTTGCATGCACTACCCCTGAGACTTCAAAAGGGCCCATCTCTTCCTTCAGGTTTTGGGATGCTGGGCCCAAAGATTTGAATTCTTGTTAGAAAACTATTTTCCCACTGGCAAGCTCTCACTAGTAAATTACTCTGGAGTAAATTAAATTGCATAAATCAGTGAATTAAAGCTAATAAGGTTCCATTTGCCTCCTAGATTGTATGGCTGGCACTTGACTAGGCACACAACCAGATGCACTACCAACACCTTATTAATTAGGCATAATTTGCCACTTTGATTTACTTGACTGCACTTATCCCAGTGTAAATTTCTACTATGATTTTGGCCACTGTGCGTAGGCTTGTTTGTATCAGTGCATGGATTTCAAGCAAGCTAAATACATTCATACACACAAAATGAATGTAGATGTATGTTGTTAGTGGTGTGCGCTACACATGTGAACTATGCTCACATACCACCGTGCCGCCTTCTGCCTCCCCTTCCAAAATTTCTTGCGGACATCCATGTCCATAGTAACTTCTTAGGCCACTCCGATCTCTAACTTCCTTGACTGAATCATAAGAACAACAGAGCAGATTTTTTTTTCTAGATCCACCATATAAGGCATATATTCAAAGTAGCTGAATGCCTGACTACCTGAGTAACCATTGGAGAACTCAGTTTAACTCAATTATTTAAATTGTGTCTTTCTTCTTGGTGGTTTAAATAGAATCAATCTCCCTCTGTGTTGATCCATCGTATAGTGTTTTTACATTATGAAAATTGCTTTGCTAGTGCACATTTTGATGTCATATTTGGGAGGGGTGGATATTGTTTTACAATAATGGTGCATGAAATAGAATTCCTCTGCAAAAATCCACATGACAATATGGCTCCCAGCATGAGTGCATGCCAAATCTTATTACCACCTAAAGGGTTTTCTTTAAGAAGAGTAATTTCATGGAGGTTTAATACATAACCCTTAACTTTTTACCTTAGCATACTTGCTGAATAAGCTAGCAATAACTCTGCATAATGCTAGAGCATTACGAAAAGAGTCTAAGCATGAAATTTAATTGAACACCATCTTTCTTTCTGAAGTATTTGGATTTATAGAGATGGCTTTTCTACATTTTCGGCTCCCATCGCTTCTCCATCTCATACAGAAACCATTTTTCTTCAATTTCTGCATAGCCAGCATGGTATGTGAGTGCAAAACGACAAATCTCTGTTTCTAAACACAATTAATTCTTGTGCCCTTTGGAAGAAATACAGGAAAAGGATGGTATGGATGGACAAGCAAGCAAACAAACAAAAAGAAAAAAACAGGGAACAGTAGGGGCAGAAGAAATCAGAGAAAGTAGCATAAGATAAATCAAAAGTAAAGAGAAGTGTAATTAAAGTTAGAGAATACGCGTCACAAAGGTCTGTTCTGAAATCTAAAAGGGTTTTTTCCTCCCGTGTAGGGATAATAAAATTGCAGAATTGTAGAGCTGAAAAATGCCCTAAGGATGACTGACTCCATCCCTTCTGAAGCAGGGAATCTACAGCTGAAGCATCCCTGATGGATGGTGGTCCTGTTGTTGTTTGTTGTTTAGTCGTTAAGTCGTGTCCGACTCTTCGTGACCCCATGGACCAGAGCATGCCAGGCCCTCCTGTCTTCCACTGCCTCCCAGAGTTGGGTCAAATTTATGTTGGTAGCTTCGATGACACTGTCCAACCATCTCGTCCTCTGTCATCCCCTTCTCCTCTTGCCTTCACACTTTCCCAACATCAGGGTCTGTTCCAGGGAGTCTTCTCTTCTCATGAGATGGCCAGAGTCTTGGAGCCTCAGCTTCAGGATCTGTCCTTCCAGAGAGCAGAGTGAGATCCCGAAATGTGGTCCTACCTTTCTTTAAAAACCTAATGTGAAGGAGAATCCACCAGCTTCTGAGGTGGAGAATTCCACTAGAGACCAGCTCTTTCTCTCCAAATCTTTCTTATTTTGAATCCATTACTACAGGTTCTACCCTCAAAGATAGTGTGCACCATCTTCTCTCTGAAAGTCCTTCAAGTACTATTGCATCTGTGTGAAAGCCCTTCAGTCTTTCTTCTCTGGGCTAACCATGTCAAACCCCCTTAACTGGTCCTTATAAGATTTGGTTTCCAAGCCGTTTCCAAGTCGTGAGTCAAGTCCAAGTCATTGGGGGGGA